AGCCCCAGCCCAGGCATGAAAGCCGGAAACCCTTTGACCGGGCTACTTCCTCTCGCACCAGCAGCCTTGTGTTGCTGTGATGAAAACACTTCCTCAAGTAGCCGTGGCCAAGGGAAGCAAAGCCAGTCCTGTGCACTGGCCCCACCTCAGACTCCAACAGCCACCAGAGAGCAGAACGGTGGCCCATCTTGGGGACTGCAGGAGGCACCGTGTGCCCCCATGATGCCCACCCCTACCCGTCCGGCCCGCTCGCCTCCCTGCTCCCTGTCGCTGGCGCTGTTCCTTGTCCTCTCAGGTGAGTGGGATCTGAGAACAGGGTCCACCTCTGGCTGGTCCTCAAGAGAGGCACCAAGGCCCTGGCATGCCTGGAGAAGCTTGACCCCACCATGATGGAGTTCGGAGGGGGACACCGAGAACTTTCCCAACCCCGGACGAGAGCAGACGACAGACCCAGTGTCCTGAGAAGCAGCGTAGGAAGTGACTAAGTGTCAGGCTCTGGGCCCACAGCCCTCAGGATTCCAGGTGGGTGCTTGAGTACCCATGACAGACACTGTGGCTCTGTTAGCCCCGGTGTCCTACAGAACAGGGCACTCATAGGACCTTTCTCTAGGGGTGCTGTGAGTATTAAATGGAAAAGTGGTGAGGCTCAGCCCCGGACCAGCCACATAATTTGTGAGGTCCAGGGCAAAGTGAAAATGCAAGTACCCTTCTTCAGAAACTATTAAGCAACACAGCAGAGCCTTAAACCAAGCATGGGGCCCTGCGTGACTATACAGATTGCACACCCAGGAGCCAGCCCTGGCCCAGCTTGGGACACAGCTTGGCTCAAACCTCACCACTGATTGATTTAAGTTACTTCTCTCTGAGCCTCAGTTTTTCCCATCTGTAAAATGGGGCTAATCATAGGATCTACCTCCTGACTTCATTAGGAGGCTACAGTAAGATAATACCTACAAGTACCTGGCATAGCGTAAAGATTTGACAGCTGTTGGCTATTATTGTTATCATGCCTATGTCTCCCCTAACTCCAGGTCAAGACAGTTTAGCTCCTGAGTCCTGAGGCTCCTCGGGTAGCTCAGCCTCTGAGTCTAGAACCCTCCAACCCACCAGGCGGGATTCTTGGCCCTCAGTGGTGTTGTCCAATCTCTTGCCCATCTGGGCCCCTGCCCCAGGTCCCACTGAAACCTAGATTCTGTTCATCCTTCCGTGGATCCTCCAGCGCCTCCAGGAGGGGCGCTGGTGGGACCCAGGTGTGTGGTCAGACCTGGGTGCTCAGTGAGTGAGGGCTCACCGGCTACGTGACTTGAGATATCACTTTTCCAAGCTGGTTTCCTCGACTGTAAAATGTGAATTGTAATTCCTAGTCGCTCAATCCACAAATACTTTTGAGTGCTGCTGTGTTTTAGGCACTAGGCTAAGAACTCAGGAATCTAAACTACACAGAATCAAAAATATTCCAAATGTTTTTTGAAAAATATTGATTTTCTACCAGGCTTCCAAAGGGAACCCTTCAACAGGGACATGAAAAGCAGAAGATGCAGGTGGAAAATTGATGAGAAGGAATCCCAGGGCTGTGGGGAAGGGGCTGGTCCAGCTCCCAGGACACCTCCCGAAGCCGGTGTCACAATGTAGAAGGAGACTCGGGAAGGGAGAGGGGGTGTAGGGCTGTAGGGCACCTGGCCTGATTCCGGATTCTAGCTTCTTCCCTGGTGTTTCACTGCCCCAGACCCACCCCCAGCTGGGATAAGACTTTCCAAGTCCTCCCTCTTCCCACTGCCTGATCTGCATGAAGTGCTCTCTTCTCCCCACACACATAGACATCATCACTGTAAACTTTTTATCATTTTAAACAGCTTTATTGAGGTACAATTGACATACAGTCAACTGTACCTATATAAAGTACACAGTTTGGCAAGTTGTGTGGGTGTTGGATATGTTTCACATTTGTGAAATTGCCACCAAAATCAAGATAACGAACATATATCTTAACACCCATAAAAATTGCCTTATGATTCATCCTTTCTACTTCTCCTTGTCTCCAGGAAACCCTGGATCTGTTTTCTGTCACTATACATTAGTTTGCATTTTCTAGAATTTTATATGACAAGGATTGTACAGTTGTCCTCCTTTTGGTCTGGCTTCTTTTACTCAGCATAATTGTTTTGAGTTTCATTTGTGTTGTTTCACATACCAATAGTTCATTTTTTGTGTGTGTCTATCCATTGCATGGATAAACACTTTTCCATTGACCCGGTGACAGATATTTGGGTTGCTTGCAGTTTGGAGCTATTATAAAATGAAGTGTTTATGATCATTTGTGTACAAGTCCTCGTGTGGACATATGCTTTCATTTCTCTTGGGGAGACTACCTAAGAATAAACTGACTGGATCATGTGGTAGTTGTATGTTTACCTTTTTAAGACACTGCCAAACTGTTTTCCAAAGCAGTTGCACCATTATACATTTTCATCAGCAGTGTATGAGGATGATAGTTCCCCCACATCCTCACCAACATGTGCTATGATTAACCTTTTTAATTTTCATCATTCTAATAGGTGTGTAATAATATCTCATTGTGGTTTTAATTTGAATTTCCCTGGTGTGTAATGATGCTGAATATCTTTCATGTCATGCATCCTTTTTGGTGAAGTGTCTGTCGAAGTCCCATTATTTAAGTCTGTCTCTTATTTTTGAGTTTTGAGAGTTCTTTATATATTCTGGATATATAACCTTTTATCAGATATCAGAACATTTTATCAAGTACATTTACTGAAAAGGGTCTACTTTCCCCAGTATATGTTATTGGCACCTTTGTCAAAAATCAGTTGGCTGTAAATGCGTGGATTTATTTCTGTGTTTTCTATACTCTTCCATTGATCAATGTGTCTATTTTTATACCAATACTATACTGTTTTGGTTACTATAGCCTTGTAATATATTTTGAAGTCAGGTAATATGATGCCTCCACCTTTGTTCTTTGGACTTCTTTGGCTATTAATTTCACTTTTATTTCTTTGACTCATGTTATTTAGAAGTTATTTAGTTTCCAAATATATGAAGTTTTTCTAGACATCTTTCTGTTATCGATTCTAATTTATTTCTTGTGGGTAGAGAATATGCTTTTCATGACTTGAATTCTTTTATACTCATGGAGAGTTTTTATTTGGGTGTGTAGTATCCAATAAATGTCAATTAGGTCGAGTTGGTTGATAGTGTCTTTTAAGTCTTTTTATATTCTTTCCGATGTTCTACTTGTTCTATCAGCCTTTGAAAGAAGAATATTGAAATCTCGGACTCTAACTGTGGATTTGTCTGTTTCTCCCTGTAATTCTGTTAGCTTTTGTTTTTTAATGCCCTCATTCTTTCCATCTATTGGTTTTTGCTTCATAAATTTTGAAACTCTGTTATTAAATACATAAATGTTTGGAATTTTTATATCTTCTTGATTAATTTACTCCTTTATATTGTGAAATGACAGTCTTTATCCCTGGAGACATTCTTTGCTCTGAAATCTACTTTGTCTGATATGAATATATCCACTCCAGCTTTCTTTTGATTAGCGTTAGTATAGTATATCTTTTCACATCATTTTTCTTTTAACTTATTTGTGCCTTTATATTCGAAGTGCATTTTTGGTAGGCAACATATAGCTGGGTCTTACTTTTTCATCCAACCTGACGATCTAACTTTTACTTAGATATTTAGAACATTTATACTTAAAATGATTATTGATATGAGTAAGTTTAAATCTATTATCCTCCTATTTGTCCTACTTGTTCTTTGGTCCCTTTTCCCTCTTTCTCTGTCTTCTTTTGGTGATTAAATATTTTTAATACTATTTTACTTCCTTTATTATCTTACTAGCTATATGTCCTTATTTTGCATTTTAGTGGTTGCTTTAGAGTTTATAGTATACATCTTTAATTTATACAGTCTACCTTTAAGTACTATCATACCATTTTACATATAGTATAAAAACCAGCTGTTTGGCAAGACTTGACTAGGAGTCTGGAGAAGCTCCCTAATGTGGAAAAAGGGTTAAGTGAGAAACTCCAGTGGTCCACATTTCCACCACAGACTCCTACAATCCTAGCCACGAGAGAGCCCCTCCACTTTTGTGGGTTCCGAGACTAACATAGGGAGCTCTCTGGAAACTGCGTGAAGGCATTGCTCTACAGAGAGAGCTCACATTGGGTCCCACAAGCCCTAAGCAGCTGTAGCACTATGCCGTTGTGACAGCCCAGCCCACACCGGACTGTGCCCTGCTCTGCCAGCTTTGCCCAGACTCAGCAGGAGCCAGGGGCAGCAACCCTGCCTTCCCCACCAGAGGGTGGTCACACATGTTCACGTGTCCCAAGGACAAATTCCACTGCCTGAAACCTCCACCCCTGTAGACGTCTGTGGGCTGAGGTGCAAGCGAAGCCTGTACCCCCCAGCTGCCTGCCTCTAGCTGCTCCCAGGGAAAGCAACTCCACCCTCTCCAGGAGCAGGGCTGCAGCACAGCTGCTGCCACTCCACCCTGAGTATTCAGCTAGTGGCCTGGGGATCACCGTGTCCCTGCCTACCATAGCCAGTCTCAGCATACACCACAGGGTTTGAGGGTACCACCCAGCCTAGTTCCACCTCTCCCCAAGTACCTGAGCATACCACCCAGGGACCTGTGGGTCATCCAACCCAGTCCTCTAACAGTGACACCTGAGTAATCCTCCCAGGGTCAGAAGTAGGGCCCACTCAACCTGCCACTACCACCACAGCTGGTGCCCACCCACACAAGGTCTTGGGACCAGCCCACCCAACCTGTAACAGCCACTGCCAACACCAGCATGGACCACTTGTATCCCAGAAGGTTGTCCTCCCCACTGCTACTGCAGTCACCCATGCCATGCCCACCACCTACAGGCTGGAGAACCTGCCCAACCACCTGGTCCACTACTGGCATTCCTGGAACCTGAGCAAGCCATCGGCCTGCATGACCAGCTAACTCCAGTGTCAACGTACACTGCCTTGAAACTCAAGGACAGGCATATTTAGCCTGCAGCCACAACTGGGATTCCAAAACTGGCCTACCTACTATCCCAGTCCCCAGAGAAATTTCACCACAGCATCCACTAACAACTGCACCCTGACCCACCAAGGAAATTGCAGACAACACTGATGCTGTTTACAGCCAAAGAAATTATACAATCACTACACTACTGCATGCATCAGAATTAAAGCCAAAGTGCCCTACCCTTCCAACACCATAGATACATCTTCAGGAAAAAGTCCTCACCTACAAAAGCAAATTTTTAAAAA